GTGGTGCCAGCCACCAGGCCAGGCAACAACCAGGGTGGTGGTGCCAGCCACCAGGCCAGGCAACAACCAGGGTGGTGCCAGCCACCCAGGCAACAACCAGGGTGGTGCCAGCCACCAGGCCAGGCAACAACCAGGGGGTGGTGCCAGCCACCAGGCCAGGCAACAACCAGGGTGGGGTGGTGCCAGCCACCAGGCCAGGCAACAACCAGGGTGGTGGTGCCAGCCACCAGGCCAGGCAACAACCAGGGTGGTGCCAGCCACCAGGCCAGGGGTGGTGCCAGCCACCAGGCCAGGCAACAACCAGGGTGGTGCCAGCCACCAGGCCAGGCAACAACCAGGGTGGTGCCAGCCACCAGGCCAGGCAACAACCAGGGTGGTGGTGCCAGCCACCAGGCCAGGCAACAACCAGGGTGGTGCCAGCCACCAGGCCAGGCAACAACCAGGGTGGTGGTGCCAGCCACCAGGCCAGGCAACAACCAGGGTGGTGCCAGCCACCAGGCCAGGCAACAACCAGGGTGGTGCCAGCCACCAGGCCAGGCAACAACCAGGGTGGTGCCAGCCACCAGGCCAGGCAACAACCAGGGTGGTGGTGCCGGCCACCAGGTCAGGCAACAACCAGGGTGGTGGTGCCAGCCACCAGGCCAGGCAACAACCAGGGTGGTGGTGCCAGCCACCAGGCCAGGCAACAACCAGGGGTGGTGCCAGCCACCAGGCCAGGCAACAACCAGGGTGGTGGTGCCAGCCACCAGGCCAGGCAACAACCAGGGTGGTGGTGCCAGCCACCAGGCCAGGCAACAACCAGGGTGGTGGTGCCAGCCACCAGGCCAGGCAACAACCAGGTGGTGCCAGCCACCAGGCCAGGCAACAACCAGGGTGGTGCCAGCCACCAGGCCAGGCAACAACCAGGGTGGTGGTGCAACAACCAGGGTGGTGGTGCCCACCAGGCCAGGCAACAACCAGGGTGGTGCCAGCCACCAGGCCAGGCAACAACCAGGGTGGTGCCAGCCACCAGGCCAGGCAACACCAGGGTGGTGCCAGCCACCAGGCCAGGGGTGGTGCCGGCCACCAGGCCAGGCAACAACCAGGGTGGTGCCAGCCACCAGGCCAGGCAACAACCAGGGTGGTGGTGCCAGCCACCAGGCCAGGCAACAACCAGGGTGGTGCCGGCCACCAGGCCAGGCAACAACCAGGGTGGTGCCAGCCACCAGGCCAGGCAACAACCAGGGTGGTGGTGCCAGCCACCAGGCCAGGCAACAACCAGGGTGGTGGTGCCAGCCACCAGGCCAGGCAACAACCAGGGTGGTGCCAGCCACCAGGCCAGGCAACAACCAGGGTGGTGGTGCCAGCCACCAGGCCAGGCAACAACCAGGGTGGTGGTGCCAGCCACCAGGCCAGGCAACAACCAGGGTGGTGGTGCCAGCCACCAGGCCAGGCAACAACCAGGGTGGTGGCGAGAGGTTGGCCCTCCACCACCGCGTGCCGTCAGTAGTCAACTTGACCCCTGATTCGTGGGTCAGGCACCACCTGGGTTGACAGTTACCTTGACGGGAGCTGCCTTAGATGTGGGCAACATCTTCAGGTCATAGGGAAGATGTCTTGACCCACCTGGCCGCCCCCCAGCACCTCTTGACCCACCTGGCCACCCCCCAGCACCTCTTGACCCACCTGGCCGCCCCCCCTCAGCACCTCTTGACCCACCTGGCCACCCCCCCTCAGCACCTCTTGACCCACCTGGCCACCCCTAGCACCTCTTGACCCACCTGGCCACCCCTAGCACCTCTTGACCCACCTGGCCACCCCCCCTCAGCACCTCTTGACCCACCTGGCCACCCCCAGCACCTCTTGACCCACCTGGTCACCCCCCCTCAGCACCTCTTGACTCACCTGGCCACCCCCAGCACCTCTTGACCCACCTGGCCACCCCTAGCACCTCTTGACCCACCTGGCCACCCCCAGCACCTCTTGACCCACCTGGCCACCCCCCCAGCACCTCTTGACCCACCTGGCCACCCCCCCCCAGCACCTCTTGACCTATCTGGCCGCCCCCCAGCACCTCTTGACCCACCTGGCCACCCGCCCCCCAGCACCTCTTGACCCACCTGGCCACCCGCCCCCCAGCACCTCTTGACCCACCCCCCAGCACCTCTTGACCCACCTGGCCACCCACCAGCACCTCTTGACCCACCTGGCCACCCCCAGCATCCACCTGGCCACCCCCAGCACCTCTTGACCCACCTGGCCACCCCCCCAGCACCTCTTGACCCACCTGGCCACCCCCCCCCCCCAGCACCTCTTGACCCATCTGGCCGCCCCCCAGCACCTCTTGACCCACCTGGCCACCCGCCCCCCAGCACCTCTTGACCCACCTGGCCACCCCCCAGCACCTCTTGACCCACCTGGCCACCCACCAGCACCTCTTGACCCACCTGGCCACCCCCAGCACCTCTTGACCCACCTGGCCACCCCCCCCCAGCACCTCTTGACCCACCTGGCCACCCCCCCCAGCACCTCTTGACCCATCTGGCCGCCCCCCAGCACCTCTTGACCCACCTGGCCACCCGCCCCCCAGCACCTCTTGACCCACCTGGCCACCCCCCAGCACCTCTTGACCCACCTGGCCACCCACCAGCACCTCTTGACCCACCTGGCCACCCCCAGCACCTCTTGACCCACCTGGCCACCCCCCCCCCAGCACCTCTTGACCCACCTGGCCCCCCAGCACCTCTTGACCCACCTGGCCACCCCACCAGCACCTCTTGACCCACCTGGCCACCCCCAGCACCTCTTGACCCACCTGGCCACCCCCCAGCACCTCTTGACCCACCTGGCCACCCACCAGCACCTCTTGACCCACCTGGCCACCCCCCCCAGCACCTCTTGACCCACCTGGCCACCCCCCCCAGCACCTCTTGACCCACCTGGCCACCCCCCCCCAGCACCTCTTGACCCACCTGGCCACCCCCCCCCCCAGCACCTCTTGACCCACCTGGCCACCCCCCAGCACCTCATGACCCACCTGGCCACCCCCCAGCACCTCTTGACCCACCTGGCCACCCCCCAGCACCTCTTGACCCACCTGGCCACCCCCCAGCACCTCTTGACCCACCTGGCCACCCCCAGCACCTCTTGACCCACCTGGCCACCCCCCAGCACCTCTTGACCCACCTGGCCGCCCCCCAGCACCTCTTGACCCACCTGACCCACCCTGACCCACCCCACCCCCCAGCACCTCTTGACCCACCTGGCCACCCCCCAGCACCTCATGACCCACCTGGCCACCCCCCAGCACCTCATGACCCACCTGGCCACCCCCCAGCACCTCTTGACCCACCTGGCCACCCCCCAGCACCTCATGACCCACCTGGCCACCCCACCAGCACCTCATGACCCACCTGGCCCATCCCCCAGCACCTCTTGACCCACCTGGCCACCCCCCAGCACCTCATGACCCACCTGGCCACCCCCCAGCACCTCTTGACCCACCTGGCCACCCCCCAGCACCTCATGACCCACCTGGCCACCCCACCAGCACCTCATGACCCACCTGGCCACCCACCAGCACCTCTTGACCCACCTGGCCACCCCCCAGCACCTCTTGACCCACCTGGCCACCCCCCAGCACCTCTTGACCCACCTCGCCGCCCCCCAGCACCTCATGACCCACCTGCCCACCCCCCAGCACCTCTTGACCCACCTGGCCACCCCCCAGCACCTCTTGACCCACCTGGCCACCCCCCAGCACCTCATGACCCACCTGGCCACCCCACCAGCACCTCTTGACCCACCTGGCCACCCCCCAGCACCTCATGACCCACCTGGCCACCCCCCAGCACCTCTTGACCCACCTGGCCACCCACCAGCACCTCTTGACCCACCTGGCCACCCCCCCAGCACCTCTTGACCCACCTGGCCACCCCCCAGCACCTCTTGACCCACCTGGCCTCCCACCAGCACCTCTTGACCCACCTGGCCGCCCCCCAGCACCTCTTGACCCACCTGGCCACCCACCAGCACCTCATGACCCACCTGGCCGCCCCCCAGCACCTCTTGACCCACCTGGCCGCCCCCCAGCACCTCTTGACCCACCTGGCCACCCCCCAGCACCTCATGACCCACCTGGCCGCCCCCCAGCACCTCTTGACCCACCTGCCCACCCCCCAGCACCTCATGACCCACCTGGCCGCCCCCCAGCACCTCTTGACCCACCTGGCCGCCCCCCAGCACCTCATGACCCACCTGGCCGCCCCCCAGCACCTCTTGACCCACCTGGCCACCCCCCAGCACCTCTTGACCCACCTGGCCGCCCCCCAGCACCTCATGACCCACCTGCCCACCCCCCAGCACCTCTTGACCCACCTGGCCACCCCCCCAGCACCTCATGACCCACCTGGCCGCCCCCCAGCACCTCTTGACCCACCTGGCCAAGTCTGGTATCTCCAGTGATACACCCCCCCCCCCCACCCTGGAGTTTATCTTTGGGTCTAGGATATTCTAGGTATTAGACCTAGGCAAATCTAGGTAAAATACCTAGAGAATCTTGGTAAAATCCCGGAATCTAGGTATTTGGGGATTGAACCCCACACGTGCCAGCTTCTACTGAAGGATGATAGACTGGAATTCACTGCCAGTCAAATAATACCATTGTGGGAGGGAGAGGGGGAGAGAGGGAGAGAGAGGGAGAGAGAGGGAGGGAGAGAGAGGGAGATAGGGGAGGGGGAGAGAGGGAGGAGAGGAGAGGGAGGGAGGGAGAGAGAGAGAGAGAGAGAGAGAGAGAGAGAGAGAGAGAGAGAGGGAGAGAGAGAGGGAGAGAGAGAGAGAGAGAGAGAGAGAGAGAGTGGAGAGAGAGGGAGAGAGGGAGAGAGAGAGAGAGAGAGAGAGAGAGAGAGAGAGAGAGAGAGAGAGAGAGAGAGAGAGAGAGAGAGAGAGAGAGAGAGAGAGAGAGAGAGAGAGAGAGAGAGAGAGAGAGAGAGAGAGAGAGAGAGAGAGAGAGGAGCACTAACCTTGTCTGGGTCTTGGGCTGCTTTCCGTTTGATGTCTTGGGAGACGCCGTTAGCGCCACCGTTAGCGGCACCGTTGGCGGCACCGTTGGCGGCCCCGTTGGCGGCACCGTTGGCGGCCCCGTTAACAGTACCGGTGATCATGATGGGATCAGAGCGGTCCGTACCGAATGACAAGTTATCCATCCTGTAAGGAAGAGGAGAACAGGTTACCTCAGTGGCTTGTGTACTAGTGTGGCTAGGGGCGCCCTAAGCCTGTCCCACAGGGGCGCCCTAAGCCTGTCCCACAGGGGCGCCCTAAGCCTGTCCCACAGGGGCGCCCTAAGCCTGTCCCACAGGGGCGCCCTAAGCCTGTCCCACAGGGGCGCCCTAAGCCTGTCCCACAGGGGCGCCCTAAGCCTGTCCCACAGGGGCGCCCTAAGCCTGTCCCACAGGGGCGCCCTAAGCCTGTCCCACAGGGGCGCCCTAAGCCTGTCCCACAGGGGCGCCCTAAGCCTGTCCCACAGGGGCGCCCTAAGCCTGTCCCACAGGGGCGCCCTAAGCCTGTCCCACAGGGGCGCCCTAAGCCTGTCCCACAGGGGCGCCCTAAGCCTGTCCCACAGGGGCGCCCTAAGCCTGTCCCACAGGGGCGCCCTAAGCCTGTCCCACAGGGGCGCCCTAAGCCTGTCCCACAGGGGCGCCCTAAGCCTGTCCCACAGGGGCGCCCTAAGCCTGTCCCACAGGGGCTCCCTAAGCCTCCAAGCCTGTCCCACAGGGGCTCCCTAAGCCTCCAAGCCTGTCCCACAGGGGCTCCCTAAGCCTCCAAGCCTGTCCCACAGGGGCGCCCTAAGCCTCCAAGCCTGTCCCACAGGGGCGTCCTAAGCCTCTAAGCCTGTCTCATAGGGGCGCCCTAAGCCTCCAAGCCTGTCCCACAGGGGCGCCATAAGCCTCCAAGCCTGTCCCACAGGGGCGCCCTAAGCCTCCAAGCCTGTCCCACAGGGGCGCCCTAAGCCTCCAAGCCTGTCCCACAGGGGCGCCCTAAGCTTCCAAGCCTGTCCCACAGGGGCGCCCTAAGCCTCCAAGCCTGTCCCACAGGGGCGCCCTAAGCCTCCAAGCCTGTCCCACAGGGGCGCCCTAAGCCTCCAAGCCTGTCTCACAGGGTCGCCCTAAGCCTCCAAGCCTGTCCCACAGGGGCGCCCTAAGCCTGTCCCACAGGGGCGCCCTAAGCCTCCAAGCCTGTCCCACAGGGGCGCCATAAGCCTCCAAGCCTGTCCCACAGGGGCGCCCTAAGCCTCCAAGCCTGTCCCACAGAGGCGCCCTAAGCCTCCAAGCCTGTCCCACAGGGGCGTCCTAAGCCTCCAAGCCTGTCTCATAGGGGCGCCCTAAGCCTCCAAGCCTGTCCCACAGGGTCGCCCTAAGCCTCCAAGCCTGTCCCACAGGGGCGCCCTAAGCCTGTCCCACAGGGGCGCCCTAAGCCTGTCCCACAGAGGCGCTCGCTTCATGCAGGTCGGCGTTCAATCCCCGACCGTCCACAAGTGGTTAGACACCATTCCTTTCCCCCCGTCCCATCCCAAATCCTTATCCTGACCCCTTCCCAGTGCTATATAGTCGTAATGGCTTGGCGCTTTCCCCCCTGATCGTTCCCTTCCCTACCAGATTACCCTGGAACACGGCCGGACCGTCGGCTTACAACCAGGCCGCACATTACTGCTGGGTGAACAGGTAGGTATTGGAGCCCAGTTGATCTTCCCTGTCCAGGGTTCGAACCTGGAACTAGGGAGATGGTGGAGGAACTTGCAGCCACTGCGCCATGGAGACGTGTTCAATGGTATACATTTTCAACACGTTATGCGATGGGATCGAACCTGCGTTTTCTGGAGCATATTATAGTTTACTCATTTAAAACTAATTGAAGAAAATGTTATTAAAAAAATAAGCATAATTTTGTCAGTCTGGAAATTAGTTTAAAAATAATTTGACGCGTTAATGGGTAAAATAATTATATGTTTAGTGTCTCTTAAGAGAGTTTGTTAGTTTGTTTGTTTTTCAAGTTTAAGAGATTAGTTGAGAGGGTTATCTTGAGGTTATCTTGAGATGATTTTGGGGCTTTAGTGTCCCCGCGGCCCGGTCCTCGACCAGGTCTCTACCCCCAGGAAGCAGCCCGTGACAGCTGACTAACACCCAGGTACCTATTTTACTGCTAGGTAACAGGGGCATAGGGTGAAAGAAACTCTGCCCATTGTTTCACGCCGGCGCCTGGGATCGAACCCGGGACCACAGGATCACAAGTCCAGTGTGCTGTCCGCTCGGCCGACCGGCTCCCCTTTAAATACTTTTTAATACTTTACTCAATTCACTTATAATACTTTTTGTGGTAAAAAAAGAAAAAAACAGTTAATGGGCGTAAAAGGGGCCTGGTAGCCTGGTGGATAGCGCGCAGGACTCTTAATTCTGTGGCGCGGGTTCGATTCCCGCACGAGGCAGAAACAAATGGGCAAAGTTTCTTTCACCCTGAATGCCCCTGTTACCTAGCAGTAAATAGGTACCTGGGAGTTAGTCAGCTGTCACGGGCTGCTTCCTGGGGGTGGAGGCCTGGTCGAGGACCGGGCCGCGGGGACACTAAAGCCCCGAAATCATCTCAAGATAGATAGCTCAAGATAGATAGACCCCCCCCCCACCATCACGTGTGTGTCAAGAGAGACGAGGCCACTTATCCTTAGTGTTAGGTATTCGTGCTGGAAAGACCTGGGTAAATACTGGCTTAAAACAAAGGTTAGTGATTTATGGAACCAATTACCTGGGTAACACATAATAGAGTCGTGGGGGTCAATGGAGTGTTTCAAGCGTAGGTTAGACAAATATATGAATGAGATTCGGCGGATTGGAGTCGAGTCGTCTAATTTGCCACAACTAGAACGATTATTACTAATCTGTGAATCATATATATAGCTTCTATATCTAATTCAGGATTATATAATCATAATGACCCGGATTATATAATTCATAATTCAGGATTATATAAATCATAATTTATAATTATATAAATTATATAATCATAATAATCATAATAATCATAATAATATATTATTATTATTATGACTACCATTTGAGTAGAGAAGTATGATTGGTACATTTATCTTCCAGGATTTGAATTATGACTTTCTATCTTGAGTGTAACGGATTTAACCGTTCATGTGGTGATGGCGGCCCGAGGGCGTCAGTGTGGCGCGAGAGCTGGGTGGTGACGGAGGTCGCTGGTGCTCTGCTGCTGGGGGAGGCGGTGTCCCTGGCCGCACAGGGGCCTGACCTTCCCTCAGGGGGGGGGCAGCAGTCACAGGTGTCACACCTGACACTCCCCCAGGGGCAGCACCAGTCACGGCTACTGGCAGGCGTCTCCTTGACCTTCCCTCAGAGCCACCAACTGCCACACCTCTCAAATGATTGCTAATGACTATTCCCACACACACACACACACACGGAGACATGATCACTACCTACAAAATTCTCAGAGGAATTGACAGGGTAGATAAACTGTTTAACACTGGTGGGACACGAACAAGGGGTCACAGGTGGAGACTGAGTACCCACATGAGCCACAGAGACGTTAGGAAGAACTTTTTCAGTGTCAGAGTAGTTAACAGGTGGAATGCATTAGGCAGTGATGTGGTGGAGGCTGACTCCATACACAGTTTATAATGTAGATATGATAGAGCCCAATAGGCTCAGGAACCTGTACACCAGTTGATTGACAGTTGAGAGGCGGGACCAAAGAGCCAGAGCTCATCCCCCGCAAGCACAACTAGGTGAGTACACACTACGGGAATTAATCCTCACGTCGCTGGAAGACGTGAGGTTAGGAAAGGGGGGGGGTGGATTTAGCGGGGACATGATCACCACATACAAGATTCTCAAAGTAATTGATAGGGTAGATAATGAGTTTATTTAACACAAGGGGCACACGCACTGGGACACTAGGATGAAACTGAGTGCCCAAATGAGCCATAGAGATATTAAAAAGAACTTAGGGTGGGTCTAGGTGGGTTGAGGTGGGTCTAGGTGGGTCTATAGATGGGTTGAGGTGGGTCAAGGTGGGCCCAAGGTGGGCCAAGGTGGGCCAAGGTGGGTCAAGGTAGGTCAAGGTAGGTCAAGGTGGGCCAAGGTGGGCCAAGGTGGGTCAAGGTGGGCCAAGGTGGGCCAAGGTGGGCCAAGGTGGGCCAAGGTGACTGTGGTGGCGGAGGGTTGGCATGAAGAACACAAATGCCAACACAAACAGTTTACCTGAATAATTAAGGTTAAAAAAAGAACCACAATTCTCTGGTTAACTAATCGACCCAAGACGCGGCCTTGTAGCTAATTTGTGAGCACCAGATTACAACCTATTTCCCACCACCACACATCTGGCTCCCATAGTCAGGTGTGGCTCAGACACCCACACATCTGACTCCCATAGTCAGGTGTGGCTCAGACACCCACACATCTGACTCCCATAGTCAGGTGTGGCTCAGACACCCACACATCTGACTCCAGATTCACGAAGCTGTTACGCAAGCACTTACGAACGTGTACATCTTTCCTCAATCTTTGACGGCTTTGGTTACATTTATTAAAACAGTTTACAAGCGTGTAAACTTGCCAATCAACTGTTGTTATTGTTATAAACCGCCTCCTGGTGCTTCGGAGCTCATTAACTGTTTAATAATTGTAAACAAAGCCGCCAAAGATTGAGAAAAGATGTACAGGTTCGTAAGTGCTTGCGTAACTGCTTCGTGAATCTGGTCCCCTGGTTTTTCCGACTACCACACACCCGTCTCAGTGACGGGTGTGTGGGGGAGGGCATAGTGACGGGTGTGTGGGGGAGGGCATAGTGACGGGTGTGGGGGGGGGGCATAGATAGACAGACAGGAAAAGCGGGATCCAAGAGTCAATGCTCGATCCTGCAAGCACAAATAGGTGAGTACAAATAGGTGAGTACAGACACAGACAGACACAGACAGACACAGACAAAAACCATCTCCTCCTTTACCCGACATCAACAAACCACTCCACAACCCAACAGACAGAAACATCCACCTGTCTATCCATCCACCTGTCTATCCACGGGGAAAATCATTCACCTACAAAGTCAGACATCTGGAACTTTTCCAAACCTTCAGAACGTCTGTCTGTTTGTGTGGCAGGAATGTGAAGAGGGTTCAGTGTTGAGGCGCC